TGTTAAGTATTAATAAAAGTTTGTAGAAAAGCTAATATACGTACTAAACAGTGTTAAATTTAAGAAATGTGCAGTTAAACATGGGCAATAACAATTTATGATGGAATCTAACGATGTCCGTCCTGCCAAACCGGCTTTGAATAACGTAGAACATTTTCATACTAAATTATCTTCCGAGTCGATGACCGCAGTTTGGCAACTACTGAATTTAAGTATTACACAATACACATATGTTTATTGCTACTAGATTTTAAACTTTATTTTTTCATGTTAAGATGTAAATTGCCCAAAGTTAACGTCATTTGCCTAACACACTTTAATGTTTGTTGTGGTTTAAATCTAGCGGTATCAGTTGTTTTATCAGCTTTTACACCTTTCTAGTTATAAATTCCTTTTTGTTGTTAACATTTTGATAAGGAACGCTCATATAACGATTTGTTATTGATATTCGTTTACGTTTTTAATAATATCGTCTTTGATTTCGATTATATTACGATTTAATCCGTGATAGGAGAATTTGTCTCAATATATATATATATATATATATATATATATATATATATATATATATATATATATATAGATAGCTAAGAAAGTAAAAAGTCTGTGTTGGAAAGCTATAATCGACTTTTTAGACAAAGCTATCTAAATTACTTGTTAGGGTGTACGTGTACAGTATAACATAGCGCTCCTAGTGTTGGATTTTTGTTCTAATTAATTCAAATCGTTTGCGAAGATAGTTATCTTAGTAGGCGTTTTACCATTTAGTCCTAATATAGTGGTTTCTCCAAACATTTTATTTGGAAATTTGTTTTTGATATTAAGAAGTTTCTATATTCAAATAATCGTTTCGCCTTTAGATGAAATGGACAGAAGGACACATTTTTATGTACACATTTAAAACAAAGGGTCTGTTATTCATATGTATTATGTACAAACTTATATGTATGAACAAAAATTTTGTTACTTAAAATTAAATTAAATTTCAAATTAAATTCTTCGTTATTTATAAAATAAATAACGTAATATTATTATTTATTAACATAATATTATTAACTAATAATCGTAAAAAAAAATCTATTCATTATTTATTCATTTATTGATGTATAAAAAAATTTACCATAATATTGAATAATTTCCAATAGCATTCAGTTATTCTGATTTAATCGCAAGTTAAACCCGTTATTACAGTAATTTTATTCATTAAACGATATTTAATATTTGCATAGCTGATATTTTATCACGCAGATAATTTTTTGTTGTGACGATGAATGACCGAGACCTTGACATTGACTGGTGTTGAAACACGTGTCTATTAGTAACCGTGTGTATGGATAATTTAAATCATATTAGTAGTAGGAGGTATTATATATTTATAGATATTTTAATGCTATTTATTATAGATACTAACAACTTCTCTTCTCTTGTGATCTGTCTTGTATATTTTATGATTTTAGTAGAGACTCACCCTTGCTTCGCTCGGGTTCGTACCTAGGTACGTTTTAACGGTTAGTGTGGAATAGATTGACAATATACCTAATATATACATAGGTATGATGAGTTGTTGTGGGTTGTAGTATAACGTGTTTTCCTTTTCCCATGGGAATGACATAATATCCCGCGGTAAAAAGTAGCCTACGTCACTCTCCAACCCTCCAACTAACAACTATCTTCTCACAAAAAATCGCGCAAATCCCACACTCTATTTCGACGTGAAGGAAGGACAAACAAACAAACGAACAAACAAAAAAACACACTTTCACATTTATAATATTCGACATGTACGGGAAACGCCACTTTTTGGTAAACTAGCATGTGTTATTGAAGATCATAGCCTATTTGTATATTATCCAATTCTATATATGTCATCCAAATCCGTCCAGCCTTTAAAGCTTGAAGGAGTAACTAATATATCTATACACACATTTACAAACTTCCTCATTTATAATAGCGCTGCTAAATGATATACGCCCTAATAAAATAGTCCATTTCATTCATACAAATCTTTCACTCTCAAGTTACGGAGATAAGTTAAAAAGTTCAAAACCTTTTTTGAAATCACCGGCATTATAAGCAATAAAAGATTAATATACACATAAACATTATTAAAAGTATCAATGGTATTTATAGGGCTTTCGATATATTAAATTCAAGTAATAGAGCTTTTATTGCATTAAAGGAAACCGCAAAACAGGAAATAGTAAAAGTATCTTTTGCAATTTGAAACTTGCAAGTGTATTATTATTAGCTTAGGCAAGTTATAAAACTGAAAATTGAATTAAATAATAACCTCAGGACTTATACAAGATGTCATTGTACAATGAATAAAGAATTGAATTATATAAAAATAAAAAAAATCTATGATTAAAGTTATTGCCATACAATTTTAAAAATTCAATTTTTCTTCTTCAATAATTGTAAAAACACATATCGTCTAGGCCTTCTGTATTTTTATTACGAAATAAATTGACGTTAATGTATAGTACTAGTGACTCACCCTCGCTTCGCTCGGGTTCGTCCCTAGCTTGATTCCCCATACAAACTTTCATCCCCATTTTCACCCCCTTATAGGATGATTTCCGGGATAAAAAGTATTCTTTGCCCTTCCCAGGGTCTCAAACTATCTTCTTACCAAATTTCATCTAAATTGATTCAGTAGACCCAGAGATTACCCCCTACAACGTCACAAACTCACAAACATTACCTCTTAATAATATTAGTATAGATAATATGATAGGTTAGAAAGATTACCTGTCCATTAAAACGGGGATGGTTCCGCTGGGATTTAGTGGGTAGTACTGGCTTTTCTAACCGCTGAGTCTCGTCATAACCACCTGTATGTATGCAGGTGGTATGCATAAATACGTTTCCCAACTTTAGGAAAAGGGATATTACGGGAATTTATCGATCTAAACTAGGGAGTTTGTCGATCGGACTTCGATACAGCGAGATTAGTGATTGTGAACTCATGTATATTATAAATAATAACGCGAGTGTAAATGATATTTTTATAAAATAAATATATATTATAAAATAATATTATGAATACATATTATAATATAATATAAAATAAATTAAAAATAACTTTTTTGAGATCATAAGTGTTTAAAAGCCAACATTGCTACGAAATATAAGCCTTAAGCAACTCTAAACAAACTTGTCAAATGCAACGAAAATTACATTAGCGATGGTTGTAACCGCGTAATCTTACCCGCTGATGTAAGAGGTCATCGGCCTAAATTATGGGGTTGCCATAGTGATTCATAGTTTGATGTTTATTGAAGTGTTGCTAAGACTTTACATTTGTATTATCGATATATTAGTATTGATTCTATAAAATTGTATGTTTTTTATTTTTAACATTAGTTTCTATAAAAATAGCATTTACTGTGCTTAGTATTATTTTTTTTATTTATTTTTATTAAAAAGTCAAATTCGGCGTGTCTAATCATAGCATATTCCAGTATTATCTAGCTTTTGCGGAACATTTTAAATTGTTATTCGTAAGAAGGACTCGTCGAAATATTGGATATTTTATGATATACATTTGGATATATAATTATTTCGTAGCTTAAAATTAAAATAGTCTTAAATTATTTATGTATGCAATGTTTTTACCTACTACAGAAACATACCAAATTAAAAAAAAACTTTTATGTTAATTTCTTATTATCGTTTGCTATCAAATAAAAACAAACAAACAGTCCGTATCGTTTATAGAAGAGCTTTTATTAAGCACATTTTGTAATTTATGGACAAAAGTTTAAAATATTCAATATTTCCGTTCACGAGAGCGAAATTCAATAACTATTAAGTGCTTACTGTGAAAGCTTCAGCCTCACTTTACATGGCATCCTAACGATAATGGGGTGTTTGTTATTTTTAACCGAGAGATCAATAACAAAGGGATTGCCTTACAATTTTAGATGTTTATTTTACTAGAAGAGCGCCGATTGTTATATTTTTATTCAAAGTTTTTATACTTATTCAATATAAGAAAAATAAATAGCTCTTGGGTGATTATTAGTTTTTTATAAAATTAAGCTTTTCATTAATAAGATTTTCTTCCTTGACTTGTTTAGGACTAATTTTGGTTAATACATATATTAAAAGTATAGATAATAAAATTTTTTTAAATACATTTATCCTAATCTGAAACAAAAAAAAGTTCTTAGTATTCACATAGTATAAAACTCTAAAATAATCAATTTTACGAGCCGTTACTATACAATCTATATCTTTGACGAGGCGTCCCCTACCTGATGTTTTTTGTCCGTCCGTATGTTTGGAGAAGAAACAATCGAAACAATGGCTAATGCTAGAATGGGATCAGTCTACACCAATTTAAATTCCCCCCTTGATGGCTCGCTGTTGATTTTAATGACTCCCAACTTTGATTGTTGACGTGATTTATTATAGAACTATAAAATGTTTTAAAGTATATCTGTTTGTAGCTAGTAGGAATATGATAACGGACTTATACTTATTTATTCATACCAAGTTTGTGCCCACGGTTTTGTACGTGCATGCCATTAAAATATGCCTATATTTTTTTACAAAAGTTACAACTTTATTAGTGAATAAATTGTGAGGTTTCAGTTTTACGTGTTTTATTAAAGGAAATAAATATATTTGACTCATTTGTGTAAAGAATTTGTTTATGAAACCTTGACCGATAGGAACGTATTCAAAAAAAAAATGGAAACCGCGAGCATTTTCATATTTTTCCCGCGCTTTGCTAAGAAAGCAAGGAGATGTCGATAACACCTTGTAGGTAGTTGTTGTTTTTTATGTTGTACCTAATTGACGTTTCAAAAGTACCTACTGAATTTAAGAATATATGCAAGAAATATCTCGAAGTTTGTTTTAGTAATTAAATTTCAATTTAGTTACAGATTTAAGTTATTCTGTATTATTATTTTAGTAGGCAATAAGTTTTTAATATTTATTAAACAGTAGATGTTATATTTTTTACTTTAAATATTTTATATTTGTTGCAGTTGGATTTCTAATTTTGGTGTTCTATCTATGGGGTACACCATACGAGCGGGGGTTCTTCTGTGACGATGAATCTCTCAAACACCCATACAAAGAATCTACAGTCACTAACGTCATGCTGTATATTGTTGGCATCGGTCTTCCTGTGCTTACGGTAAGCTTCTTATTTTATTAATATATTAAATATTTTTTACATAAGGTCGATGTAACTGTCATCGAGAGGCAGATAGAATTAAATCATATTTTGAAGACAAGATGATTTTTAATTAGACTTGCTGTATATTATACTAGCGCCTTGCCCACGCCTTGCTCGGGTATACCGTGTGTTAAAGTAGTCTGTGTGTTACTTCGATGTAAGTAAGATATATATATATATATATATATATATATATATATATTTGGCATTTTTTTCTGTTTTTGACATGACTATGAAGTCAGATCCTTCCTACAAATAGCAGTAATAACCGATAAAGTTCACTACAAAATGTTGATTTTATGTACTATATATATTTGAGCTTGCAAACATTCGAGCTATGCTATGATAATATGAGCGCTATTCACGACTTATTTCAGTACAATCTATAGTTCGCGTGACTTTAGACTGAAGGTCGTTCAAATTAGACATTGTCGCTAAATCCTACGATATATACGACGATACGATATATATATATATATATATATATATATATATATATATATATATATATATATACGTAAATGTTACCTATAAACATTTCACGGCATAAGTTTGCATGTTTTTCTGTTTGATATTTATTTTCATTATAGGAGATAATTCTTCGATTTCATGAAAACCATACGAAATGTAACCCAGGTTAATAATATAATTATTATGTTCTTGTTATTTCCTGCAGTATGCCTTACAACTAGGTACTATTAAAAATAACTCTTAGTATACATACGAAAATGATAAAATAAATGTTTTATCGGACATTTGATGACTCTATATCGTTTTTAAATTAATTAGATTTCAAAATATTCTATTGATTTTCATTATTTCTTAAAACCTTCAAAAGACAGGTGAGCTTTTAATTCCATCTCTTTGTTGTAATAAGAACTCTCAGTTACTTTAATAGTTAAAAAAGTAGACATTATCTTGTTTACATCATGCACCTCTGTACTAATATTATAAAGAGTAAAGTTTTTTTTCGTTTGTTTTCTTTGACCTAATAAGTTACAAAACTACTGAACCAATTTAGCTGAAATTTGGTAAGAAGATAGTTTAAGACCCTGGGAAAGACACAGGATTAATATCCCGGTTTTCATTCATAAGGGGGTGAAAATGGGGATGAAAGTTTGTATGAGGAAGCAACCTAGGGACGAACCCGAGCAAAGCGAGGGTGACTCGCTTGTATATCATAAATCTACATGTATACTTTTGATATTACATATTACATAGTGCCTTACCAAAGAATTTCTTACGTCAACACCCAGCCTAATTTTACAAGGTGTGAATTAGTCGAGTTCCAAGACTTTATACTAGATAGAGTCGATAGTTTGTCAATATTTACAATCTACGTTTGGTCGACCATTACTTATTGTCACCATCCGCTTATCTCCTATAACCTCTACACATATTGGTTAAATTTAACTACGAAGGGTTTACGTTTTGTTGGAATGTGTTAAGTCATATATATTAGACTAAATAAGCTATTAACTATTAAATACATATTGTACTGTTTTTCTTATTTTCTAAAAAACTAGTACAAACATAGAAGAATGATTGTAAAACGTGAAACTTTCTGAATAATAGTTGGCATGTTTATACGACGGTATAGATATGATGAAGAGATAGACATACGAAAAAAAAAATAGAAAGATAAACTGATTCTAAATAATTTTCTAAATATTTTTCCTTACTAACAATAGGATTTTGGCATAATTTGTATGGAGCTTATGTAAAACAATCTCTAAAAATAAAAACTTTAGATAGATAGGTTATTAAAAAACCATCGTAAGATATCATTATTTATTTGATGGCCACTGAAGCTAACCAAGTACCTTGTTGTTGATATCAGGAGTGATGATCATTTTCTGATAAATATAATAGCCATGCAGGATCGAATCCGTGTTCTCCAGCACAGTAGGCAGTACCAGACAGAAGGTACGCTACCTTATCGATTTTTACCCATATCGTGTGAAATAAAATGAAAATAAAACCTTTTTATGCCCTTAAGATGCTCCTGATATAACTTGATTTGTTTTATCTGTACCACAATCAGTTAGAAATTACCTTTAAACTGAGTGTGGGATTCCACAGCCAACAGAATTTTACGGTTTTTAAATGGTAAGTTGTGTTATAGTTGATATCAGACCATCTCATCATTATTCTGGAGATTTTAATTTTTTTATAGTCAAAGTGGTTTGTTGCTTTTGTATAGTGATGTGAAGAAGCATTACACAAAACTAGATTAAACAAAAATAATAATGATTATATGAAGAATGGTTATTTAAAGCAGTACCCGCGGCTTCGCCTACGTTCAAACTTCCCATCCTAAAAATTTCATCAAAATGCTCCAGCCGTTTATTCCAACCTGTTATAAAATTATCTAAATACATTTGGATACTACAGTTCTTGTACAAAAAAAAAAACCTTTTTTTTTAAGTAAATATAGTCTGGAGCAAATTTTTGCTGACAATTCCCCTGGACTGTGTTTTATGGCTTAAACAATATAAGTATTTCGTCTGTAAAAAGAGTGAGGGATCCCAACACATAGATCATCTACTAGTATGTTTTTAATAATAACAACGTCAGGGCTAATAAAAAGGTTTTATGTATAAAATCTAAAAAAAATATTACGGTGAACAGATGAATGTTTCAATTTATTACAACAATAAACATAAACCAATCATTTTGGGATAATGCGAACGTGTGAGTCTTATAACTGAATTTATTATTTGTTTAAACAATACTATGAAAGGTACTTTAGCTGTAATCTTCGTTTATTTTTATTATCATAAATAATGATAATGTAAATTAAAGCAGTCCCGAAAATAGTCCCATCTACTGGTACTGGAGTCGTCTAAATCTTATACTCCAGCCTTAAAAGTTTAAAATCATCCACTCACATACTTATCTTTCATTCATTCTGAAAGCTGTCACTTCATACTTTTCATCTTAATAAAAAAATCTTAATATCTAAGCAATAATAATAATAATACATATTAACACGTAAACATCGAAAATTAAAAATAGCTTTTTTAGATATCTCGCTACTATTATAAATGCGAAAACTTGTAAGTAACTTAACGCTGTAACGTACGACTTATTTTTTTTAATGGAAAAACCCATAATGAAAAATCATCAAATGGCAGGGAACAGTGAGACTTCAATTTACTAAAACCACTAACAAAACCCTAACGCTGTATTGCAATAGGCATTGCAGGATTGCTTGCTTGTTTTTTACTAACACACTTGCTAAGCGAGCAGAGCTGCGGCTAAAAGTTAGTTAATTATAAAAAAAATTATCTCGTCCAAAGATATTCACAAAAAGCAGGTGAAATACAGGGTACACATAACTTCCTCATACAGACGCCTTGACGAATTAATTATTATTTATGAGTATTTTGTTCACGTTCAAGTCTGTATGACAATGGGCTGAAATTCGACCACACGATACTTACTAGTAATATTAATTTATACTGCCTAGGTAAAATTTGACAGTTTGTAATGACCCTATTTGCTGTGCCAGCGGTCGCGGGTTTGAGTCCCGCTGGGGGCATTCATTTATGTGATGAACACGAACGTTTGTACTCCAGTCATGGGTGTTTATATTTATAATATGTATGTATTTAAAGTTATATATGTGTAGTGTATCAACTACCTGGTATCCATAACACAAGTCTCGTAGCTTACCATGGAACTAGATGGTGCTTTGTGTTAATGTCCCAAAATATTTATTTATTACTAGCAGAACCCGCGGCTTCGCTCGTGCTATCTATCTCCACACAAAAAATCACGCCAATCCGTCACTCTTTTTCGACAGAAAGGACAAACAAACAAACACAATTTCACATTTATATTAGTATGGATATATACATTTAATATTAGTATGGATTATTACTAAACCAAACACAACCTACACACTGAATTTAAAATTTACTAAGTAGTTCTACTTATGTAAATGGTTCCATAAATATTATATTTTCCTATAACTGTTTAGAATGTATAATTTTAATCAATTATGGAAAATATGTTTAAACATTTAGTATGGAAATGGATACTGGTAGATCAAATATCCGATCATGATGATTTGATGGCCCTCGCTCTTCTATTGACACTTTGCTGACACATTGAAAGTACGATTATATTTCCAGTAACTTTTTAAGCGCATATGCTTTAAAATTAAATTTATATACGTATAAAAATGAGAAGCTTTCTCCCATTTTTTTATATATGTTGGGACATTAACATATACCTCTTTGGGGTAAATATGTTTGAGTTTTAAATATTACATATGTATCTATAATAAATGTAATTATTTCTTTTAAAAAAAGGTAAGGGCCTTCTATACTTCGATCAACAATACTACTTACTACTCGTAGTAGTATTGTTGATCGAAGCTTCTTTACATCGTTTCTGTTAATTTATTTTTGCTTGTTTCTTTTTCTTGGTGTACAATAACGTGTAACTGAATTGCTCTGATTTGAAAATAACTCAAAAATAATAATTAACAACGACAAAAGGGGTTATATCCTTAGGAGTTTTTTTTAATTTTTGTGTCCTTTGAGGTAATTACCTACTATTAAAAAATTAAAAAATATGAAAATTTATTAAATACAATTAACGTACAATGATTTCAGTTCCTTTAGAAGTCAGTCAAAAACAATACCGTGAGAATTAACTGATATTTGTATTTGAACGAAATATTACTCGAATACCCTAGAGACGTGCACTAAAGAGGGATTTTTCGAAACTGTCATGGCAAGTTTTTATATAAATCAATATTTTTCTGAACAAAATTTGAAATTTGAAGTTAATACTCTTAGATTAAGAGAATTAAATACGTTTATATATGAAAATAGTGGACCCTTGGTGATACTTCAGGCTGAAAATGTAAGATTAATGAAATAAATATGTTACATAAAACCCATATTTCCTACAGATAATAATACTTTTTGATGGGAAAGGTCTTA